TGCGAACCAACAGAGGCAGAAGAGGAGGCCAGAAAGATCTGAAGCAGGAAAAGGACCGGACCTGCCGTTACTGGTTTGCAGATGAAGGGGACCCCGAGCCCGGGAGTGTGAGAGCCTTCGAGAAGCTGAGAACAACCCCTGGCTGGCAGCCAGCACGGAAAGGGGAACCTCAATCCTACACCCTGAGATCATGACCTGAGCTGAAGGCAGACGCTTAACAGACTGAGCCACCCAGGTGCCCTTAAACCTGATTAAACACGGAGCCAAATTCTGCCAGCCCCCTGAATGAGTCTCGGTGCCGAATCTCCCCCAGAGCCTCTAGAGAAGGACTCGGATCAGCTGCCATCTTGATGTGGCCTGTGGGACCCAGAGCAGAGAAACCAGCTGGACCCACTGACCACTTGTGACCTGCAACACATGAGGTAACACATTTATTCTGTGATGCAAAATTTGCAGGGCATTGTTATGGCAGCAGCAGAAATGAAGACAGACAGTCCGCCAAAGTCCATTAGAAGTGAGGTGTAATTATAATGTTTTCACTTAAAAAACAAAGTAACAGCATTAAAGGTAATTTTGAATGACTTGAAAATTGCCTGTAATCCCTATGATTTTTGCATGTCTCCTTTATATACAACCTGACCTATTCACATACAACATGAACACGTACTTATTTTAAAAATCAGGTTTAAGGGCGCCTGGGTGGCTCAGTCTGTTAAACGTCTGTCTTCGGCTCAGGTCATGATCTCAGGGTCCTGGGATGGAGTCCCGCGTCGGGTTCCTTGCTCAGCGGGGAGTCTGCTTCTCCCTCTGACTCTGCCCCTCACCCGCTGCTTGTGCTCTCTCTCTCTTAAATAAATAAAATCTTTTTTTTAAAAAAAAAATCTCGTTTAAGATGTGCCTGACTGGGGCGCCTGGGTGGCTTAGTCGTTAAGCGTCTGCCTTCGGCTCGGGTCGTGATCCCAGAGTCCTGGGATTGAGCCCCGCATCGGGCTCCCTGCTCAGGGGGGATCCTGCTTCTCCCTCTCCCACTGCCCCTGCTGGTGTTCCCTCCCTCGCTGTGTCTGTCTCTGTCAAATAAATAAATAAAATCTTAGGAAAAAAAAGAATATTAAAAAAGATGTGCCTGACTTACAGGACAAAGAAGTGTCGAGTTATATTCCAAAGAGTCACATTGGATCTCTTTAGGTGGTGGGATTAAAAACAATGTTCATTTTTCCATTTGCTCAAATTTAATTTTTTTCTGCAGTCAACATGGGTTACTGGTGTGATTAAAAAAAAAAAGAAAGAAAGAAAGAAAAAGAAAAACCCATGCAAAATGTGCCTCCCTGGAGAGGTCCCTAAGTCAGGACAGACTGGGGTCAAGGGGACTTGCCACAGGATTAGCTGGAAGCAGCTCAGGATCCTCCCTCATTCCCTGGATCTGTCCATTGTTAGACCAGATGAGCCAGCTCATTAGATCAGGAAGGAGGCCCGGAGGCCCTGGGGGTGAAGGACCGGACAAGTGGAGGCAGAAATGACGCATTATCCACTTTGGGAAGCAGGAGGGGGAGGAGCCGGACTGTGGGGAGGGAGGAGGGGGGAGGGCAGCAACAGTTGACCTAACTGACCAGGAGAGGAGGGGGAGGAGGGAGGAGGAGGGGGAAAGTGGGCAGTCCCAGAAGCTTGGTGAGCTTCCCCATTTTCCTTCGGGGCTTCTCTGCCTGTTCAGATGGAGTAAAATGGAGAGGCCACAGGTGCCGGACATGGAGAATGTGTGTCCCCGGCGGATGGCAGCACCAGGCTGGGGCCCTCCTGGGGGGGCCCTAAGTAGCTGGGGGAGGAGGGCGCTTTCCTCCCTGCGCCTCGCCAAGGGAACCCCGGCAGGGCCTTTAGAGTCAGCAAGTCATTACTTACTGGAGAAGGAAATGGGGGTTCCTATCATTAAAACAGAATAAAACTGGGCGCCTGGGTGGCTCAGTTGGTTAAGCGACTGCCTTCGGCTCAGGTCATGATCCTGGAGTCCTGGGATTGAGTCCCGCATTGGGCTCCCTGCTTGGCAGGGAGTCTGCTTCTCCCTCTGACCCAACCCCCTCTCATGCTCTCTCTCTCTCTCATTCTCTCTCTCAAATAAATAAATAAAATCTTAAAAAAAATAAAAAAAAAAACAGAATAAAACTTTGTACATATAAACTTTAAACTTTGGAGATGAAAAAAAAAATGATAGATCTCCAAGTACCACAAAAAAAGAACCAGTTTCTGGCCAGTGGCTCACCCGTCCAGGATCTGTGAGGAGGGCCACGTGCCTCGGCTGTGCCCTCTCTCATGTGGCCTGGCCCGGCTGGTGGTCAAGTCAGCACGGGGGCCACCAACATGGCCTCCCTCCCTGGGCCCCGGAGTCCTCCTCACATCTCACCTCTACTCCTGGACGCCGAAGCAGGAGATGCCACAGCCACCCGGTCAGGGATGGGTGGTTGGGCGGAAGGAGTGAAACACTGCACTCCGCCCCACGCCAGTCTCGTGTTGCAGCCCAGAGCCAGAGACCAGGGGAAGCAAGGGGACCTGCAGCCTTCCAAATGGACTATGGGGAGCCCTGCTCCCTGGGAGGAGCCGACAGCATTCAGAAGCTCCCACCTTCCCTGCTGCCTGCCAAAGATTCTTCTACCAGAAAGGAGGCCAAGTGGGAGCAAGTAAAGACCAGAGAAGAGAGGAAGGATGTGGCAGTGCTGGGCCCCAGTTCTGGCCCCCGAGCTCGTCCCGATGCAGGTGCCCCTTCCAGATGGCATGCTCCCAGTACCTTCCCAAAGGCTGTACCACAAGTCCCCCTTTCTTCAGCTAGTTTGAAGTGTTGAGTTGCTGGTGCCGCTCAGCTGCTGTGGGGAGCCTTTAAAGCCACCACACACAGAACTAAACATAATCAGAGTTAGACAAAGATTTTCTCACAGTAGTATAATTTTTAAATTTATTTTATTTTATTTTTTTAAAAGATCTTATTTACTTATTCATGAGAGACAGAGAGAGGCAGAGGCGAGGAAGAAGCAGGCTCCCCGCTGAGCAGAGAGGACGCGGGGCTCGATCCCAGGAACATAGGATCACGACCTGAGCTGAAGGCAGACACTTAACTGAGCCACCCAGGTGCCCCTGAATAATTTTAAAAACGGAGTAAGTTTGTGAGGATAGGGACCTTTGCTTTGTTCATGGCTGGAGCCCCAGAACCTGGCTCAGTAAGCATGTGTGGAATGAATTAATAAACCTAATTTTGACCTTTGGGAGAATGGTCAGTGTGGTGCAGCCATATAATGGAATACTAAATATTAAGTAGTAAGAGATACCTTGTTTTAGACAACTTTTCAGTGACATTGGGAAATGCTTATTATACATATCATGTAGAAGTTTCAAAACTCTATGTGTATCATTTATTCCCAAGGATGGGGAAGAGTATATATGCATAGACAATAATAATGTAAGGAAATCCACCGAAAATGTTTCCAAGAGACTAGGAAGTTTGATTATGAGACTATTTTGACCTTTACTGTTTTTTTTGGATTTCCCATATTTTCCTCAATATGCATGTACTCCTTTTCTAATCAGAAAAAGTTATCCAAATATTATTTTGCTTAATAGACAACATTTGGTCCGCACCTTTAAGGGTGCAGGAACCAAGGAAGTGGGGGCTTGCTCAGGGATGTGAGCAGGTAGAGGAAGCTTGCAGCAGGGAGAAACTTGCAGGGAAAGGGGTGGGGGGTGCTGCAGGGAGGGGGCGGGGCAGGGGTGCAGAACCCCCAGCAGACAGGCCGTGGGGAGCCCACAGTCTCCCCCGCTCCTGTGAGTCCTCCAGGGATGCCGCCCCCTCCCTCCGTACTTTCCTGACACCCGTTCTGGAAGCCCCTTACTTACTTTTACTGCTGGTGGAAATTCAAACCTACCGTCTGGCGAACGTTTACAGCAAGTGCGGGCTGGGGGGTGGGCTGGAGTCATAGACTCCCCCTGTCTTGGCTGGACCCTACCTGCACCTGGGGCGCCGCGGGGCAGAGTCACCTGGCTCCGGGGGTCCCAGACAGACCAGGGTCAGCCACTAACCACTCACCAAATCAAAGGCAGAGAGAGGAGGAGGTAAAACAGGAAAGGAGTCTATTTCAGGGAGGCCGACACCGGGGAGACAGCCGACTAGTCTCATAGACGGTCTCCCAAGTGCTGCAAATACATGCAGGTCTGCATCAGGAAAATGCAAAGGGACAGAGGTTAGTGGGAGTGCGGGTGGGGTTGGTCACGGGTGGGCTTGCCAGGCCCGGCTCAGGGCGGTCCCTGTGGCTCGAGGGGCGGTTTCAGTGCTCATGCCCGGGCTGTTTGCCTGGGGAAAGACGTAAGCCGGCGAGGAGAACTTGGTTGGAAAGCACGCACAGGTCAGAATGGAGGTGGCGGACCCCTGTTTCACGCTTAAGGACTGGATCCTCCCAAACGCACGAAAGGAGCCGATCCTCAGTTCTTAGGAACCGTGCAGGCTCGGCGGACAACGCGGCTGCTACCGGAGCCACCACCCCGCAGGCCGGGAGTGGGCGGGCAGCAGGGGCTTCCAGCCGCCCCCGCTCAGCCCTGCAGTCCGCAATTCGCGGAGCCTCCCGCCCGGCAGGGCGGCTGACAGTCCGCACCACACACACAACACTAGCCGTCTTCGGCCGGAATCCCCGCCCCGGGCCCCACCGGCCTCGACGGCCGACCCCGGTCCGGGGCGGGCCCGCGGGGCGGAGACCCCAGCTGCCGCGCACCGCGCCGGAGGTTCCCACCGCCAATCCCGTGCGCGGGGGGGCGGGCACACGGCACGAGCTCCCGGCCGCGGATTGGTCCGCCCGAGCTCCCGGCGAGGCTTGGTCCACCCGAGGATTGGTGCCCCGCTCCCGAGCTCTCGGCCACGGATTGGTCCGCTCGAGCTCCCGGCCGAGGATTGGCCGCCCTGGCGAGGCGGGGCGGGGCCCCGTGAGGCCCCACGGCACCTCCTGCCAAGCAGGCGGTGGGGAGGCGTCCCAGGAGCCGGCCCGGAAGCGGCCGGCAGCTGCCTGGGTCCCGCTTCCGGGGCGTGCGGCTCGTTGGGGTCTCTCTCCGTCCGGCCTCGTGTCTCCTGCGGCGGCTCCCTGGTGGTGCCGGACGCGTTCCCGCCGCCATGAGCGTGGGCTTCATCGGCGCGGGCCAGCTGGCCTGTGCCCTGGCGCGGGGCTTCACGGCGGCAGGTGGGCGCGCGGGGGGCGCGGGCCGCAGCCTGGTCCGGGGTCGCCCTCCGCCCCGCGAGCCCGAACGGCTGAGCGTCTGACGGGCGGGACGAGGCTCGTGGAGCAGCGAGGGCCGCGAGCCCGCGCGGGGCCTGGTTGTGGGTCCGACCTGCCCTCCCCGGGAGAGCGCGGGGGCCGGGGGGCCGTGGTGCCCGGCTGACGAGCCCCGTCTTCCGCAGGGATCCTGTCGGCTCACAAGATCATAGCCAGCTCCCCGGAAATGGACCTGCCCACCGTGTCCTCGCTCAGGGTAGGGGGGCGTGGGGCACGGGGAGGGGGCCCGGCCCGCGCCCACCTCCCCCCAGGAGCGTCCGGCCCTCCGTGCCAACCCCTCCGCGCTCCCATTTCACCTGCCCCTCTGCCCGTGCCTCTTTCCGGCCGGGGAACTTCCCTAGCAGAGGGGTGCCCGGGTGCCCGAGGTCTGGTGGGGATGGGAGACGGCCACAGCCCGGTGGCCTTGGGGAAGCGCCTAGCACCTGGCTCACTTGTCCGGTAGCAACAAGGGAAGACTTCGGCAGCGGCGGGGGTAGGGGCAGACCCCGAAGGGACAGGGCAGGGAATTCCAGGGTGCTCCGGGGGCAGGGGTGCCCGGGCCCAGGGAGTCTGCCCCGCATTGTGAGCTGGGCAGTCTCCTCCTGCAGAAGATGGGCGTGAACCTGACCCGAAGCAACAAGGAGACGGTGAGGCACAGTGACGTCCTGTTCCTGGCTGTGAAGCCGCACATCATCCCCTTCATCCTGGACGAGATCGGGGCCGACGTGCAGGCTAGGCACATCGTGGTGTCCTGTGCTGCTGGTGTTACCATAAGCTCTGTGGAAAAGGTGCCAGTTAAGAGGTGGTTGTGTGGGGGCCTGGGGGTGCCGGTGGTGCTGGCAACTCACTGGGGCCTCTTCCTTGTCCCAGAAGCTGATGGCCTTCCAGCCGGCCCCCAAGGTGATTCGCTGCATGACCAACACACCCGTGGTGGTGCGGGAGGGCGCCACGGTGTACGCCACAGGCACCCACGCCCTGGTGGAGGACGGCAGGCTCCTGGAGCAGCTCATGAGTAGCGTGGGCTTCTGCACGGAGGTGGAAGAGGACCTGATTGACGCCGTCACGGGGCTCAGTGGCAGTGGGCCTGCCTACGTGAGACCCCCTGGGGACCCAGGGCAGCGGGATGGACTGGCAGGCCGCTTGGGCTGTGGGTGCTGCCTACGCTGGGGCGAAGCTAGCTGATGGAGGAGGGCAGCCTTTGGAGCTAGTTGCGGTCATGAGGAAAAGCAGGCCGCGGGGCGTGGCCCAGCGTGTCTTCGGCCCTGGGACTCAGTGAGTGTCTCCACAGGCATTCATGGCCCTGGACGCGTTGGCTGATGGTGGGGTGAAGATGGGCCTGCCTCGGCGCCTGGCGGTCCGCCTGGGGGCCCAGGCCTTGCTGGTCAGTATACTTGCCCTGCGTGTTCTGGACTGGGGTGTGGGATGGGAGCCCCTGGTGGGGGGGGGGGGCATGAGCTGGGGGCGGGGCTTGGTTGGGAAGCTGGGATAGCTGCTGGGAAAGGGCAGTGGGTGTGGAGAAGCCTGTCCTAAGGTACACAAGCAGTCTTCTCATCCCTCCTGCCTCCCGCAGGGCGCTGCCAAGATGCTGCTGGACTCAGAGCAGCACCCAGGCCAGCTCAAGGACAATGTCTGCTCCCCCGGGGGGGCCACCATCCACGCCCTGCACTTCCTGGAGAGTGGGGGCTTCCGCTCCCTGCTCATCAACGCCGTGGAGGCCTCCTGCATCCGCACGCGGTGGGTCGCTCCCCCTCTGTGCCTGGGCCCCCTGCTCCCAGTGACCCCCCGGGCTGGGCCCCGTCCCGCAGAACCTGCCGTCTGTGGTCCCTCAGCAGTGCTAGGGTCCCACGCTCTGTCCATAAGCATGGTTTCTTGGACTCTGCTTCGCTGAGGGTTTGCAGGCCTTTCTACATTTAACCGTCACTGCAGTTCTGTTGGGTGGGGGGGGAGGGGTAGCTTGGATTTATAGAAGAGGAGGTTGAGGCCCAGAGACAGTTTTCCTGAGCTCAGGCAGCTAGTACCTAGTGGAGGCGGGGCTGGACAAGCGTGTGACTCCAAACCCGCTCACTGTTCCATCTGTACCATGTTTCCGTGTGATCGCAGATAGCACGCGGAGCTACACATGTGCATGGTCACCCACACGTGGTTAAATAGCACTTCTGAGAAGCTCGGGGGAGTGTTTGATTTAGGGTTCTAAATTTGGGTGGTGTCCAGTCCTCCGGGCTTGGGGGTTATGTGCACAGGAAAGCCGGGTGGAGCTCTGGCTCCTCCTTCAACCCCTTTGGGGCTTTGTCCGCAGGGAGCTGCAATCCATGGCTGCCCAAGAGAAGGTCTCCCCTGCTGCCCTCAAGAAGACCCTCCTGGACAGAGTGAAGCTGGAATCCCCCACAGTGTCCACATTGACCCATTCCAGCCCAGGGAAGCTGCTCACAAGAAGCCCAGGCCCTGGGGGCAAGAAGGACTAAGGTGGCCTCTGCCCTTCTTTCTAGAACCAGAGCCCTGTGGGGGACCGAGCAGGGCGAGGGCAGGTCTGGCAATTTCAGGTCCTTGTGATAAAACCCCCTTGAATCTGTTCAGACCTGGCCATACTAGTGTCCCGTCTTGTCCATGTTGGAAGATGCTCCCGGTGGGGAGGGGGTGATGGTGGCGGCCAGAGGCAGGCCCACACACCTGTTGGGGGAGAGAGGCTGCGACTCCAGTCTCTGAGCCCCGCTGGGTGCAAGGTCTGGAGACCTTCAGCTGGGGTCTTCCGTCTGGAGCCTGAGCCAGGGTCTGCTTGACGCCAAGTCAAGGCAAAGAGAGGTACGAAACGTGACAAGGGCTTTGCTGTCTGAATTGCAAGTGGGAAAGAAGCGAGCAACTTAGAATTGTTACAGTTAATAAGAAAAGCAGGAAATTAGGTCATGCTTCTATTTAACTCTTGCTTCATAGGCGTCCTGTTGGAAAAGTGTTACTGAGCGCTCTTAAGTTTAGCTGCTTCAATAAAGTTTTATTTTTTATTACCCTGCCTTTTTTTTTTTTAAGTAAGCTCTGTGCCCAGTGCCGGGCTTGAGCTCATGACCCCGAGATCAAGAGTCGTGCACTCTACTGACTGAGCCGGCCTGCTTTTTTATGCTTAATCTTAAGTCCTCATTCTAGAGAACTCCAGCACCTGACCAGGCGTTCCCTGCTTCTGTGGGGAGCGCTGTCTGAAGGCAAGAAGTAGGGAGGAGAAGGAATTACGGGCTAGACCCTGAGAGCCATACAGACGCCCTGCTCCAGCCTGACCCCCAGGGTCAGGGTCAGGAGATGGTTCTAGGATGGGCCAGAGCTCATGGCCGAGGAGAGCCAAGTGGCCTGAGCCAGGGGGAGGGCGGCTGCCCAGACACAGAGGAGGAAGCCGCCTGCTTTGTAGTCGGCCGTGCACTGCCAGGCTTTGGACCCAGGCGGACTGCCCTTTGAGGCAGGAGCTACTTTTTCCCTCACTTGACCGAAGGTGCCGAGGCCGGGAGGGGACAAGCAGCTTAGCTCCTTTAGCTGGGCTCATGGGTGGGGCCGTGGGTGGGCCTGCTGTGCACACAGTGGAATAGAGCCTCCCGCTCGTCCCCAGGAGCTCGCCGCCTGTGGCATTGGCCTCGGCATACTCTCTGGGTTCAAATCTGAGTTTCCGCCACTTTTTCCCCCACAATTTGCGGGTAGATTTGTTTTTTTAAATTTTAATTCCAGTTAGTTAAGGCATACGATACAGTAATTCAAACTTCCAGGCGTTGCCCTGTGCTCATCAAGACAAGTACCCTAGTTTCTGCCACTTTCAGCTAGGGGACCTTGGAGAAGCTACTGAATCCGGTCTCCGGATTTCATCCCCTCTAAATAGGAGGTCCCGCTCCATCAGAAGGTTCTGGTGGGTTTGCAGTGAGACCTTGTGGAACGGCTCAGCAGAACATGTGGAACACGGTGGACCCCTCAAGCCCATGGTGCTCATCCTTCACCCCCAGCTGCGGGAGGGGGTCCTCGGTGAGGACAGCAGCCCAGCTCCAGCTCCAACCTGAGAGCCGTGGGCGAGGCTCGTTCCTGTGGGGCGGCAGTGACAAGCGCCAAGTTCAACCCTCTGCAAAGCTATTGTAAAGCCCCTGTTAGGTGGCAGGCTCTGCACGCTCTTTATAGGAAGTCTTAGGGTGTAAGAACTGGGTAGAATAAGGCGAAGCTCGAGGAGGTTAAATAAGCTGCCCCCCAAAGATTGGAAGAGACATTTCACCAAAGAAGATAACACGGCAAATGGGCCTGTGAGGAGGTGTTTAAGTCGTCACTGACTGGGGAAATGTCAAAGCCCAGGGCGGTGCCACAGCACAGCCACTCATGCGACTGGTTTTGGTGGTGCCGGGGTTTACCAGAAAGCGACGTTGACAAGGATGTGCAGGAATCACAGCCCTCCTGTAAAATGGGGCGGCCACTCTGGCCAACAGTCTGGCAGCTTGGAAAGTTAGAGAGTCACCATATAAGCAATGCTATTCAGGTACCCACCCAAGGGACACAGCACTTGTCCACACAAACGCTTGGGCGTGAATATTCAGGGCAGCATTATTCCGAAGAGCCAAGAAGAGGAAACCACCCAAACGTCTGCCAACTGGTGAGCGGACACCCACCAGCGTCACATCCACTCAGCGGAATAGCGTTCGGCGATAAAAAGGGAGTGCTGGTCTCACTACACCATGAAGGCGCCCAGAAACATCACCGGAAGTGAAAACCCAGTCGCTGTTGGCTGCACATTCTTTATGATTCCGTGGATCAGAAATGGCCAGGAACTGTGCGGTCTGCAGCGCCAGATCGTGGCTCCCCAGGGCTGGGCAGGAATGGGAGGAAAGCAGGGTTTGTGCTGGGAGCCGCAAGGTGATTGAAGAGGCGATGGTTGCACCACTGTGGACATACGTGGTCACCAAACTGTCCATTTAAGTGGGCGAATTTTAAGGACCGTGAATCACACTAATGCTTTAAGAAAGGGAAGGAAGTTTCCCCAGGTTAGTACCAGGACTCAGGTCCGCGCCTGCTACCGAATCCTGTCCTCTCGGCACCGTGCCTGCTGGCGAGCGGTCCTTGGGGGCTGGAGACTGTCCCCTCATCTTCTCTCCCTCGCCCCCACAAGGCCACCCCCTCCCAGGCCTAAATCCACCAACGTACATTTCCTGAGGACCTATGCCTTGGTGCCTGGGGTCTGCCTGGCTCAGGTGAATCCTCACCCGCTAAGGACCCCTGCCCTTTGCTTCTGAGCTTCCGCCCCGCACGGTCAGGCTGGACTTGACTGAAGGTGGCTGTGGCCACGGTCCTCCAGGGAGAGGGGTGAGAGGCTCAGGCCTTGGGGAACAGTTCTGCCCCGCTCTCCCCAGCCCTCGGGCTGCCCACCTCCTCACTGCGGGCTGAGGGGTCCCGGGGCTGGAGCCTGAGCTCCAGCGGGACTCCCCGCGAAGTCAAGGGGGCCCCCTCGAGTGTCAGGCCCTGGCCAGGTTGAGAGCTTGTGGCCTGAGCTGCCTGGAAGGCACTTGAGCGCCCCCTGCAAGTCTTCCAGGAGTCAGAGCTGGTGTTTGAGGCTAGCGCGGCCTCTCCGAGAAGTCTGTGCCGAACGCCCCCTCTGCCAAGTGCCTGTGAGGCCTGGGAGCCCCCTGGTCAGCAAGACTGTCCTTGCTGAGAGCCACACAGAGGCCCAGGACAGATGTGGACACAGGACATGTGAAAAACAGAGGGCAGAAGGAGAGTAAGGAAGGGGGTAACCAGGCCCCCGCCGCCGCCCCCAGCCCACCAGGACTCTTGGGGCGCCGGGCCTAGAGCGGGCCTCAATCCCCATGTCACAATTGGCTTCTCTCAGGACCCCCAGAACTGCCTTGCCTGCTGCCTCCATGTTGCTCTCCCGTAAAATGGGGCACGAATCTTGGCCCCGAATGTTCCCAGTCATTACCTCGGGGGAGTGGAGCTGAGACTGGTTCTCACTTGATTTTCTTCCTTTTACTTTAGATCATGGCTGGCGGCATGCAGGCCCCACCTTTTTTAATCCGTAGTTAAAGGATTAAAAAATGGGGGCGCCTGGGGGGGCTCAGTCGGTTAAGTATCCGACTCTTGGTCTCAGCTCAGGTCGTGATCTCGGGGTTGGGAGATCAAGCCCCGGGCTGGCCATGGAGCCTGCTTGAAATTCCCTCTCCCTCCTCCTCTTCCTCTGCCCCCCCCAAGATAAATAAATCTTACAAGAGAAAAAGAATAAAAAATGTTTGCCCTGCTCCCTGCTTCTGGCTGGCAGGCCGTGTGGGGACATATCCTTGTCCCCTTGTGTGTGACCGTCACTAGGCAGCAGCTCAGAGGGACGCTGGAGAGCTTGACTGTGCTTCCCTCACCGGTCCAGGGGCTGTAGACAGGCCTCTGCTGTCTAATCACATCCCTTCAGGGCCTTGACCCGTTCTTCCCTTTTACCAACAAACTGCAACGTAGGCACCAACGGGTATTGTGAGTCTGTGGAATCAGGGGCATTGAGAAAACAGAATGCACGTGTTTTCAAGGTCTGAGCCAGTGGCGAACGCACTACCTTTATGAAAGGGGGGAGGACGACGTTGGATGAAGACGCTCTAGAAGGGTACATGAGACACCAGGGGAAGAGGTACTTGGGCAGGGATGATGGGCAGGCCTTTTCCCACTGTACTGATTCAGGAATCACATGAAGGTGTTATCTCATCACCAAATATATCTTGCAAATCTTTAGGGGGCCTCCAGGCTGCCCAGGCCGTGCGGTGCCCCAGCGGGACGCATCGGCCCGGGTGGCCGGCCAGGGCTGGAGCGAGTCCTGTGCGCCCCACTCTGGCCATGGGAGTGTCTCCCTCGGCCAAAGTGGACAGACTGGTCCCCCGTGTCTTACCTCCACCTCCACCCACCTTCTGTCCCGCTAGCCTCCAGGATGGGCTGATCATCTGTCTGTCTCCCCCAGCAGCTGGGGTGCTGCCCCAGGCGGGGGACAGGCTGGGCCGCAGGCCACGCCCCCTGTCCTCGGGCTTGATGCTCAGAAAACACCGAGGAATAAATGCAGGCAGGCAGGCATGGATGAATGAACGCATGACAACTCTTCTGCTGACATGGCGGGCTGGGCTGTTTCTTGCTGTGTCTCAGGAGTTCTCTGGTTTGCTGGGGCGAAAGCCCTGTGCACCTGCTAGCCTGTCTTTGGACCTGGTATTTCACTGTTGGTTAGGTTCCGACTTTCTTTGGTTGGGCCAGCAAGTGTTTCCTGAGCCCTTCTAGAATGCCGTGCTCAGCTGGCTGGGATGTGAGGAAGGCTTAGTGAATTTCTATGGGGGCCACTCTGTCTCGCGGCTGCTTCAGGAGAGGGGGTGCCTCCCCCATGGCTTCGGAGCCTTTCCTATAGTGTCGGGCTCCTTCAGGTAGGAGGAAAGCACGTCAGGAACATTTAGGTAAAAAGGGATTGGGATGGAAATCAGCTTCAAAGCAGTTTTCAATTGTAGACTGCATACTGTTGGGGCGCCTGGGGGGGG